AAAAAAAATGGAGGTGGAATGATATGTATCTGATAGGCATCTTTTCAATTAATTGTCATATAGTAGGTACAAATGTAATAAAATAATTATTAATGGTATATTTACAAGTATTTACAATCTGTTTAAGTAAAGATGAAAATTTTCCTATATTAAAAATATGCAACTGTTCCAACTTTCTTTCTCTTTCTTCTCCGTCTTCTTCATTCTGCTTCTTTATCCTTCGTTCTTTTGATAAAATTTTTTATTCTTTTCTCTGAAATTACTTTTAAATCAAGATCTAAATCTCGTGGCTAGGAATAAGTCTCACGTCCTCACTTTAAATAAGCGGATGCATTGGAACCAATCCCCCTATATATAAGGAGGCGGATCAAATGCAGTCAATTCTTAAAATGCATCCAGCTCTTAAAATGCGCCCAACTCTTAGCAACTACAGACAACTAGCCTAGCAACTACAGAGAACTAACCTAGCAACTACAAAGAACTAACCTAGCAACTACTAACTTAGCAACTACAGAGAACTAACCTAGCAACTAGAGAGAACTAACCTAGCAACTAGTAACCTAGCAACTACAGAGAACTAACCTAGCAACTACAAAGAGCTAACTTAGCAACTACAGAGAATTAACCTAGCAACTACAGAGAACTAACCTAGCAACTGCAGAGAACTAAACTAGGAACTACATAGAATTAACCTAGCAACTACTAACCTAGCAACTACAGAGAACGAAACTAGCAATTACATACAACTAACCTAGCAACTACAGAGAACTAGCCTAGCAACTACATATAACTAACCTAGTTGGAAGGTTAGTTGTCAACGGTCAACGCCGGAGCCAACGTCAGAAGTCAACAGTCAACGCCGGAATCAACGGGTCAAAATAATATTTAAATAATTAAAATAATAAAAAGAAAAGAGTAAATCTTGGCCACATATGACGTACCAAATCTTGTGGCTAAAAAAGAAGTCTCACGTCCTCACTTTAAATAAGTGGATGCATTGGAACCAATCCTTATATCTCTCTTATCTATATATGAAGGAGTTAGAGGGTTTCAAATGGCGACACGTGTCCATGTTTATGGCCTTCTTATCACGACACGTGTCCAATTTAATTCACCTTATTGCCACTTCCCTTTTCATTTTGTTGTCCTCAGATGTTGCACATGGGTTCGATTATTTATCTTATCATTTTCCTGGCTAGGGTTTGAAAATTGGAGATATTAATATATTTTTGAATTCATCCTTGGTTTAGAAAAGTGAAGAAGAAAAAACAAAACTGTAAAGCACCACAATTTATGGAAATCCAATCAACGTAGAAGGTAGGAAGTGATATCGCAGGCATCGTACCACATTTTTCGGGCAGAAAATCTTACATAAGTACGCGGTGAAGAAGAAGACTACGTGGGGCAACTGTTCAACAGAGCGAAATTACCTTCACACACCCCAAAAAGCTGAATAAAGTAAGAAAGAAAGGGGCAACTAAAGGGCATCCGCATTGGTGGGTTATTTCTCTCCGTTTAAACGCTGCCCCTTTTGTTAAACCAATGCAGGTGATTCATTAAAAGGAGGGACCCATGTGTTTGTTCAATTCATTGAACGCTATTAACACTCTGATTTTTCTTTTTTGTTTTGTTTTAATAAAATCATTTTTTATGTACGCATGCTATGCATGCTTTTGTTTTCTTTTTTTTTTCTTTTTTTTTGTTTTGTTTTAAATACTAAACTATACGACAAAATCTGCGAAAAAACAGTTGTCGAGTAATATTCGCGTAATAAGCGCCATACTTACGCAATTCCGATGCATTTTTATTTTTTAATAAAAATAAATATAATGGTTTAGTTTCCGTATCTCTTTCGCAGTTTAATACCCCGCAGTAGACCTGCGAATAAACGCATATCCATCGTGAGACAGTCGCATAAAGAATCGCATTTATCATACCATTTTGAATACAAAATATTTTAATAATTGTTTTACACAAAAAGGGGTCTACGGTTGACCTGCGAATTAATTATGAGACGTTTGTTTGTCGCAATTAAGTGTGTCGCAGAATATTCAAAACAATTTTTGTTTAAATAAATTCTTCGATTATACTGCGAATGTTGTGCGGTTTGTATGCGAAATTATTTCGACTAATTGTCGCAGGTTCAATAGCCTAAACTGTTTATGTTTTTTGTTTTTCCAGAACGATAGGTTAGCCTAAACTGTTTAGTATTTTTGGCTCTTTTTAAATTTCTAACAGTTTTTTTGCTTCCAAATATGCGAATTAATGTCGCAAGATGGAATTTTAATTTTTCGCCCCTCTTTCTTTTTTGATTTCTTCTCTGGAGAGGTGCAACTATGAAAGTAGAGTATATGAGACGTTTCGCTCTTTTTTTTTTTAAATAATAAACTATACGACAAAATATGCGAAAAAACAGCAGTCGAGTAATATTCGCGTAACAAACGCCATACTTTCGCAATTCCGATGCATTTTTAATTTTTTAATAAATAAATAAAGCTAATGGTTTCGCAGTTTAATACCCTGCGGTAGACCTGCGAACAAACGCATATCCGTCGCGAGACGGTCGCATAAAGAATCGCCTTTATCATACCATTTCGAACACAAATTATTATAATAATTGTTTAATAATATTTGTTTTACAGAAAAAAGGGTTTGTGAATATCCTGCGGTTGACCTGCGAATGAATTATGCGACGTTTGTTTGCGCAATTATGTGTGTCGCAGAATAGAAAATTTCCAAAAACAATTTTTGTTTAAATAAATTCTTCGATTATACTACGAATGTTATGCGGTTTGTATGCGAAATTGTTTTG